ATAACGTATAATTTTGAAATTGGTAACCACGTGCAACACAAGGAAGTATTAGGTTAGCGACGCTTTCAATCTTCATTAGCGCAATCAAGTTGGAACAAAACTAACATATTACATGAAACTAATCAAAATGTCTTTGGTCATATTTATAGGTCCGATTGAAAAAGAGACGAGCTAACCATCAGAATGCAACTTTTGAAGGAAATACAGCTATTGTGTGAAAACTTTGATATTGATAATTAGGATACGAATGACTTCAAACTCCTGGATGGTATCCGCTATTTTGGAACAATGTCATAAACATAACCAAATGTAGCTTCGAGCAATATTACATATCGGCTTATTATTTTGAGCTTTCGCACCATTAAATGCATCTAATTCAATACAATTTGTCGGACTAAATGAAGTATTATTTATAAACAAATATTTGGTAACTAAGAAACATCCATACAAACAAATCCCTTAAGACATATGCCATGTATTGAACAAAGAGAGTGTGCATGCTTTACTGCTTCACAATTGTAGACATGAACTAATATTTAGTAACTAAGAAACATTCATACCGACAAATTCCTTAAAGACATATTCCATATATTGAACAACGCGAGTATTCATGCTTTACTGCTTCACAATTGAACGCATCACGAGACTAACTAGGCAACATTTTTAAGGTAAAAAATAATAATCAGATTTTCCCACTTTTATTTATCTTTTTTCACCATTTATTTTCATTTTATTTAATAAGAAGTCCAAAAGTCTATGTAATGTGGGTAATATCTTATAAACAGAAGTTCAAAGATCATCATTGATCTTACAATCGTTTCTAAGTCAAAATGGTGAGTCTTATTTTGAGTTTGAACTTCTTTTTCATTTCCTCTATTAATGTTTTGTTCAATTCTTTGAGCTTTGTTCTTAAAAATTTTCTATAAAGAACTTGCCTTCTTTTTTAAAAAGACTTTTCATAAGAGTTTTAGGTATTTACAAATGTATATTCAGTTTTGATATGAAATTGTTGGAAAATATGGGTACAACAAACAGAGTTTAGAGGCTATTTGAAGGAATTGCTTTTCCGATCGTATGAAGGGATTGTTGTACACAAGTGCAAATAACATTAGATTTGTTGTGCACATGAAATACTTTTTTTTATATCAAATTGAAGATTACATGAGGTAAAAAAAATTCATAGTCTGTATTGAAATATTTATGAATATTTTAATATTTCTCCAAATATTATTTTTTTTTGTGTAAAACAATGTGATGAACATATCTTTTGATATCTATATTTCTTGTTTAACAATGATGATTTGATTTTGACGTTGAGCAAGGTTGTTGTATACGGATACTGTGAAGTTCATGATTATTATGATCACATTCTTTCTTCTATTTTGAATCTCCAGGTAATTGTTAATTTAATTTTAAGATTGCCTTTCTCTCTCTTTTTATTCATTTTTATTTTTTTTGTTGGAAACTTTTGAGTTCTTATACCACGAAACTTTTTTTTTTTTTATATTTGCCTTTTTTCATTTATCAGTTATGTTTCTTTTAAATTTCTCAACTCTTTAAATATAGGTAGTGTGAATACTCTTTGCAATAATAAATAAATATTATTTACAAAACAATAACATGCACTCTTTATTTATTGATATATAATTCATTCCCTTTTGGATCAAGTTACCATGAATTTTTAATTTTAATTTTAGGATTAGATTTTTTCCAATTCAAGAATCTCTTAATATACTTTCTAATTAGTAATTATATTTGGATAATTAATACTACAGAATAGTAATTATGCAGGAATAAAAGGCTGGAGAATTTACATAATCTCAAAAGTATCCAATTATGAAATATGTTGTAATCATAATATGATGCAGTTAGAGGACATTTTTACGATAATAAATACTACTACTAGATATCCCACATAAAAATGGCCTTACATATTCTCACGTTGTATAAGTAAGATAAGTTACCATTATTGTTATCAGATTCAATATGGTAGTAGTTTTTTCCCAAATTGACGATATTCATGAGTTATGCATTTATTTTTTCACATTGGTGGTTTTAAAAGTGGGAAATTCTTACTTATAAAGTTGAACTGCATACTAAAAAATCACCAAAAAATTGAAAGTTTTTTAAAATTTTAGTGAAACACTGATCTTACTACAATTGTTTATGCTAAAATATCAATATTCGTTCTAACAAAGATTTAAAAAGTTGAACTTAAAAGAAATACAAATATGATAACCATTCATATTAACTTAATTAATTAAAGAAAGTTATAGTATATCTTTACGATTAAATCTTACTATTATTTAAGAATTCACAATGAATTTGCATTGAGAAACGTTTATATTTGTAAAGTTAGCTCTCGAATGCTATATATACATATACATTATAAGTAACATTTGTAATATGCGAAAAGAAATATAATTTATTTTATTTAAAATACTACTTTAAATGTATTTATTAGATCACTTTGTTGGATTACACTAAATATTTATTCAAACACTTTAACATAATAAAATCATCCCACTTTATGGTACTATATATAGATATATCGTTGTTGTTGTTGTGGTTGTTGTTGTATAAATTAAAACAATTTGAAATATCTATTCAAGGTCCTTCAATTTAATAAGCTTTATAATTTAACATTGTTGTTCTTTGTTGTCTTACAACTTTGCGACCGAACATCATGTTTGTGGATATAAAAAGTATAACAAACTTTTATTTTGTTTTACCACACTAATATGTTATCAATTGATGTAACTTTTTTTTAAAAATCGTATACTTATTGACATAGGGTTCACGCGCAAAGCGCGTGTCCAGGAACTAGTTAAATAAATAAGAAAAGATAAACAAAACAAGGTGTTTAACCTCCCCTATTTCATTTAGTGAGAATAGTAGCAAGCACTTATAAATTCAGGGAAAGATCCAAATTTTCCCAAAAGTGACAAGATTGAACCCCCGGGAGCAAATTCCAGCAATATATTTAATGATCATGCCTCACTTGCAGTGAAGCAATACTACAACAACAACATACCCAGTGTAATCCCAAAAGGTGAATCCGAAAAGGGTAGAATGTACGCGGACCTTATCCCTACCTAGGAAGTAGAAAGATTGTTTCCGGTAGACCCTCGACTCAAGGAAAAACATTTCAAAGCAAGTCGAAAAAGAAATAACGGGATCCCTAAGAAGCAAAAAAAAAAAAACAGTAAAACATCCTTCAACCACACCTTACCTAACTTGAGACAAAAATAGAACCATGCTCATGAATATATTGGAATGCGATAAATTCTTAAAAATTAAATATCCAGTTCTTCTTGAAGCTCCCCAAACATGAGTCAGTTCTTAAAATTGTCAATTTTTCATGTTGCAACCACTGAAATTTCTTAAAGCAAGAAGCCAGGATCCTTGACGTAGAACTCACAAAGTCATTTATCAGGGAAAAAGTAACTAATGTACTTGGCATTAGGAAATTTCTTCTTTAAATTTCATCTTCAGAAATTATTTTTGAATCATTTCCCATACTTTGTTGGGTAAAATAGTAAGTGACCTATGATGATTGTTCAAGGTGGAATATAGAATAAGAGGAGAGAGAATATTTGATGTTAAAAGTTGTCAACAACAACCAATTGTTAACTGAAACAAACCACATTTTGAAAGGTAAAAAAAATATTTATTCATATGTGATGGAAGTCAGTGAAAAATATTTCCTTTCTAGAAGACATTTCAACTAACCAAATACTAGAAATTGATTTCGTCAATAAAAACATTCTCTTACAAATCATTCTCAACGCAATCCAAAGTTAACTAGTTTAATATTTATGCAACAATTTAACTCAATTGTGGTCGCCAGTATAAATTAGTCATAAACCTAAAGGAAAAAGGAACAACATTATTATTTTCCTTTGAAGCACCCACCATTAGCAAATCCAAATTTCAGCAGCATAATCCACATATTTCCTTTTCCATTAGTGATCAAAGTAACAAAAAGATGACTAAGAAGAAGCAGTTAAAGGGGAAATTTAACCTCCTTGATAGCGACTTGGCGAGTAACTCTCAAGAATCGACATTCATCCCCATATAGACCTTCCAAAAGCACCACATCTTGCAATGGACGGAAGACCGCATATTCGAGTCTGTCTCCCTAATTGATTTGAGTAAGCTGGAACCAATCTTCGCCTCCAAAGATCTGTCATTTTCCATTTTTTCAGAGAATTGGGAGAAGAGGACTAAGACTTTGAGGAGTGGAAGAGATAAAATTGTTCTTCATCCAGAATTTTCACTTGGAACCATTATTTTGAACCCCTAAAATACTGTAATCTTATGTTTATGTTTAGGGGTTCAAAATTAATATATATATATATATATATATATATACACATCAATGATGACAGGAACATGAACTTTCAAGAGTTAGCATTAGAATAGAAATTGTGATCAAGCGAAACACATGCACTATTATTGGTAGCAAAAGCCACAGGCACGCCTAGCGAAGAGTGCAATTTACTTCAACTCGGAACAAAATACTTTTTATATATTTTTCTTTGTCCACGGTATCAAAAATAGATATTCACTTTTACTTGTTTAGATAATAAGAGTTGTTGTTTACCATTTTGTACTTGTTTTACCTTGTATGAGAGATGTTAGAGAGATGCCTATTGTTGGAGGCACTGGACTCTTTAGGTTTGCTAGAGGCTATGAATTGGCTCATACTTTTTGGTTTGATGTCAACACTGGAGATGCTATTGTGGAATACATGTGTTTGTTCAACATTATTGAAGTGAGAATTTGTGCTTATAAAGTAGTAGTCACAGGCACAATGACTTTACTTTTTCTTAATTATTCCATCTTTTTAATTTCTTTTTTTACTTTTTCTGAATGTTCTAAAGTGATGTCTTATTTATATCAAAGAGTTTTGCTACTAATGTTTTATCAATTCACCAAGAAATCTATGAACTCCAAGCACAGTAGATAGAAAAACTTCTCAATTAGTGGACAAAGTATCCAGAAACACTTGGTAATGTATATAATCAAAGAGGAACCAAAACTACATAGTTTTTTTGGTTCACTTGCACAGAAGTAGATGAAAATTGGACAGCCTAGGGGTACATAAGACATCATGAAAAAGTTCGATTTCTATAATAACTATCATGTCGAAATTCATTTGTTCGATCAAACTATCAATTCTTGTTAGAATCTGTTTAGTAGTTGCTCTCTATTTTCTTTCTCCAAGGAATTTGTCAATATTACCATACCAATTCCACTGGAAACATAGACCAACAACACGTAATATTCCAGCAGCTATCACTTCGATAAATGCCATCAAGAATGATCTCTGAGGAGATAGACCAGAAGTTGCTAGGGAAAGAAAGAATCCCTCAAAGTTGCAGGGGACAATGAAGTTTCCTGATTTAAGGCCATTCAAAGCTTTCTTTGCAACTTCATCAGCTTTCATGGAACCAGAAGAAGCTGCTAGTATACTAGTCAACTGTGGCCTCCTCTTGTTCTCTGCAAAAGGATTAAACTTAAATTATTGCAAATGTAAACTGATTATCATTCAGGTAAGTTCAAGCACCTATCGGGTACATTCGACGTTGTGCACATGAAATATTGGGGGTACAACACACACAATGATGTTGATGTCTCCCAAGGTTCAATATTAGTGCATACATATCTCCATGTGCATTCATCACAGCCTAAATATCATAACAAAGGAACTCTATAACTCGCATAAGCATGTCGACCCCTTGACCACATTCTTTAATAGTAAAACGAAGCAGAGACCATACACATTAAGCTTCAAACTGTTCTAGACCTGTATTATCTAAATAGATCTAAAGACACTGAAATGCAGCATTTAACATCCTGTCGGGTTCTACAGAATCTTCATGGCATTTCAAGATTTTACATAACCTATTGAATTGCTATAAAGGATAGCTAATATGTGCAGTACATCATGAGCTAATCAAGAACAAATATTTTCTGGCTTTGTTCCTCGAAACATAAAGAACAAATTGGCTAAACAATTTGTGCTATCCCATGCAGTTCTCAATAATTGGTAAAAAGATCAGTTCTATCATCATTTTTATTGTGAACTAATCAACTTGCTTGATCCAGACAATTTTGTGGTCTCTGAAGGAAGAAAAAGAAAAAGATATTAAGGAAAAGGATATAAAACTAACATATCAACTTAGAATCAGAGGTAGATCATAGCATTTAGCATTAGTGGATTCCAACTGGGTATGGTGATATTACATATTTAATTTTTTTTACATAGATTTTATTTATGATAACCTTCTTTTTTTTACATAGACAAACATGATGCAAGTAGAAAGCAGTGTGTTTGTTGCCCCCCCCCCCCCCCCCCCCCCCCCCCCCCCCCAACATGTAGCATAGCATCTAATTCGTGCATTGTGACATGTAGTGATAACAACCAGAAGAAACAGAGTAGGATTTGTTCAGGTCCAACCTTCAGCAAATCCAGGAGTTTCAGTGTCCGGAGGAAATATTAGTGATACGTGAATATTTTCACCAATTACTTCCTGCTGCAGTGATTCTGCCAGTCCTCTTAGGCCGAACTTACTGGCTGAATAAGCTGTATAACCATATATCCCAACCTAAGACAAAACAAAATACCAAATAAACCAAATCAGCTAAGAAAAAACATTATAAAGTACACTAATGCAATTGTATGGGAAAAGAAGTTCACCTGATTCTACCATATTTTATCACAGACTGCTTCCAGTCTTTCAGGTTAAACTACTATTTGAGAAAACATTTCAGTGGTGGCGAACGATACACATTATCTCTTTATTAAGTGAGCATCACAGACCAAGCTCCAATCCTTCAGTTTAACTACTATTTAAGGAAGCATTTGCCGTGGTGGGTCTTCCAGTTAATTTTTTTATGATGAATACACGTAAATGTGAATGCATAGAGGGAAACGAAATTAAATAAATTGGACAATTGTGATGATCAACTCTAACTTATTTTCATTGTTTCCCCAAAAACTCCTAGATGAGATAAAAAATAAAATTGCAATAGAGATTAGATATCAATCAGAACAGAAGATGAAAAACGCTGCTGCTGAAAGTGTATCCATGCAAAATGTCTTGATGAATTGTGTACTAACGAGAGTACTGCAAAATCATAAGATTGTCCACACTTTCTCAAACTACCATCCTCAAAGAATAATGAGTTCCAAACTTTAAGTGAGTCAGGTACATAACAAAACTACTTCTTTCTAATTCTAAATAAAGAGACGAAACTAGCAAATGCATTTCATTGTCTTTTGCTGTTCAAAAGACACTACTTGAAATGCATTTGCTAGTAACTGTAGCATGAAAAAGTTTATAGGAAGTGCTTATCTGCAAATGTTGATACCATAGTAGTTACGAGTTCAGATACATTTGTAATAGTATTATAGCTCTCAGCTACTCCGGGTGCTTCTAGTTTAGAATTTTACAGTATTAGATGGTAAATGAACCTACGATGCTAAAACTGAAAGTATTAATAGGATATTTAACAAAAGAAAACTCCAATATCGTTGGTGGACGTAAGCAAATGGGTAAAGTAAGTAGAAAATAGAAAACCATCCAACATGTTACAGACTCCAGATTTAAGAACCAATAGCACAAATCAGATCTTGATTAAATCTGGTGAATTTTAGAGATTGAGATAGACTTTATAATGCTTTGTTATTCTTTAATCATCTCAGACTGTATGACACTAATTTTACCTTCGTTTCTCAATCTATTTATACCAGAAAACTGTGGTAAGATCTTCGAAAATTAACAACAAATATAAACAGTGATCACAGTACAACGTCACTTACATTGTTATCAAGTTCAAACCATATTTTGGTTCTGAACAATGCTCTCATTTCAACGTATTGCGATAGTCATACCAGAGGCCAATCTTTATTATAATAACAAGACTGGTTAAGCTCACAACAGAAATATACTCTGGAGCAGTTTAGCCTTTCATGTCCTTATCTCAAAACTAGTTACTCCTTCTCCTGCTTACTATAGCTGTTACTAAGGGCATCTCCAACCCAATCCTCTATTTTACTCTCTAAATATAGAGTTCTCTATTTTTTCAGACAACCAACTCCAATCCAATTCTCTATTTTACTATCTAAAAAGGAATTTTTTTCTCTCTTCAATATTATATTATTATTTCTATTTCATTCTTATTTTCATATTTCATAATATAAATCCTTTATTTCTTTTTTCCCAAATAATTACTTTATATAATTTTTAATGTGATATGAAATTATATTTTATTCTAAAATTTTAAATAACATAAATTGCAAGAAAATATAATATAATACATAAATTAAGGGACAAATTCAAATAAAAGTGACATACAATTACATAAACACTCAATTTTCAAAATTATTATGTTGCTCCCATAAATGCTATATTAATGCATTACGGAGTTCAAAATGAGCATTTTTTGTCCTTAATTTTTTTATGTCTAGCTAAAAATTGTTCAAACCGGAGATTTTCATCTACCACCATTTCTATAGTTGGAGTTGGAGCCTCTACGGCATCTTGAATTAGTGCATTACGATCACGTTCATCCTCAATTATCATGTTGTGCAATATAATACATGTAGTCATTATATCATGTAGTGCGTGTCGTGATCTTTAGTGTCAACATTCTAAACACAACGGTAATTTTTTGCAAAGTAGATAATCCAAATCTACCCAGCGCATCAATGCGTTGTTCGAAGTACGTATCGTGATCTTTAATTGCATCAACAATACGAAGAAACAAATTGCGGGACATTCGATAACGATGGCGAAATATTGCATCATTAAAGCGTGGTGTGGCTGAAAAATAATCACGAAATAAATTATCATCAGCCGCCTCATGATCACGATTGATTACCACATGACCTGGAATGGAGCCACCTATGAAAACTTCATTAGTATGATTTTGTAGAACTTGTTGGAACATGTAGTTGTTCATACGTAGCTGATTTATTAAGTTATCATGATGTTTTGTACTAGGAAAAAATTTCAAATCTAACGAAGATGATGACGAAGAAGAAAAATCTTCATCATTATTATTAGAACAATCTCCAAGATTGAAATTCGTTTTCAAAGGACAAACCAAATTACTTGAATATGTTTTGAAATGAAATGAATGTGCAGTAAATGGTGTTCATTATATAATATGTAATGTTTTATCTAAAAAATATTAAATGTACTGATGAGAATCTCATCCAACCGTTTATAATAAGATGAAATCCATCTAATGGTGAATATGAAGATTACATTTTTAAATTATTGTTGTGATCAATTATGTATTGTATTTTATCTTTTTATTTAAATTATTATGTTATGTATTATATTGTATTGTTATCTTGTATTTAAATTATTGTGTTATATATTGTATTGTTATCTTGTATTTAAATTATTATGTTATGTATTGTATTGTATTGTTATCTTGTATTTAAATTATCATATCATGTATTGTATTTTTAAATTAATTTTTTTCATCTTGCCATTTTTATTTTGCATATTCTTTATAATTAAAATTAATAATAAAATAAAATTTTACTATTCACGAAAATTAGAAAAATAAATAAAATACTATTAATTTGAAACTAAAATAGTATATATTAAATAATATTTTTTAAAATATTATATTACATTTAAAAAAGAATTATGAATATTAGATATTTAATTAATGGAATTATATGTAAAATAATATGTTAATTAGAAAGTAAATAAAAAATAATAATAAAATAATGAAAAAGTGAAATAGAGAGTGTGAATAGTAGTTCTCCAAATTTGGAGAACTACTATTCACCTCTCTAAATTTGAAGAATAGAGGGTGATTTGGAGGTGGGTTGGAGTGCCCATTCTCTATTTTACTCTCCAAATATAGAGAATGGAGAGTAAAATAGAGGTGGGTTGGAGATGGTCTAAGCATTTTTCTTTGACAAAAAGCTAACCTCAACCTAAATTCTTACATGGCAGATAGCAGAAGTGGTTGAAGAGATGTATTCAAGTTAACCAAAAGAGTATAATGCAATCAAGCATGTTCATAAATTACCGCCAAACATGCTCTTGATTTAGTGCAAACTACACACAAGAATACATTAGCCCCTAATGTCCTTAAGTCCACCGGTCTACCCACTTGGCGGCAATGCTAGATTACTTTACTATTTGTTTCATTACAACAGAAAATGTTTGAAGAAATCCTCTTTTAGTTTTTGGTTACCTTACAAAAATATAATTCTCCCAAATACTTCCACCAATATGGGAAACTGACTAATACGGAACTTAGTATCTAAGCTAGAAATTACCTGAAGTGTGTGAGAGCTAATTTTGGTGGGAAAGTTTGTTAAGTTGGCATTTTCTTATCCTAGTTTAATTTCCCATTTTCTTTTATTTCATTTTCAGCACACTTCATGTGAGCATAGCTGGTAGTATAAAAGCTCAATCAAACACTTGTATTGCATCATGATAAATGATAATACAAATTGCTAATTTCCTTCCTAAACTTCTCCTCATGTATGCCCTTTTCTCTCATTTTTCTCTTCTTTTTTGATGAAGTAAGAAGTTTCATTAAAAGCATCAAGAAGATGAGCAAAAGGGGAGTACATTTGAGCTAACAAAAGAGACTTGTGTTACATTCCTTTCTTCTCTCTCCTCTGTTCTTCGATACCAACAATTAGGTATCAAATGGTCTCAAAACATTGATCTCTTGGGGCTGTGTTCATGGAGAAGAACACATCAACTGGGAGCTCAAGCTGAGATCCTAAGATGATGGAAAATCGGGTAGATTTGGCTGCACGACTTGCTGCTATGGCTGCTAGTCAGAAGGAATTAATGAATCGAAAAGACCAGATGGAACAACGACTGTCAAATTATTTAAAATGATAAGTGAACTGAAGGAGGCTATTAATGGCCTTCACCTGCAGAACAAACAAAGAGAAGCTCTTTCTCCCCAAGAGCGGCACTGAAATTATTCTGCAGACTGAGAAAAAATCTCAACCTGGATCGGTCTCTGCCAGCGAAATCACTGGACTAAATAAAATTAGAGAACTAGTTAAAAAATGAACGATTGTGAGATGTTTGAAAGAATGACCCAAGGATTTATAGCAGATATATCGAACCAGCAACACACTATGAATTCCATAAGAACATGGAACTAAAAAAAGTTTGTCGATGCTCTCCACATTCGCAATAACCACAAAGCCGTCCGGTCGCCGAAAACTAGGGACAATGAAAAATCTGATCAGAGAGTTTAATTTGAGGTAGAACTTGATTCTATTATTCTTCATCGATTAGAGAGTTTAATTTGAGTACTGTTCACTTTAACATCCCTATAAACATGCATCAAGTTGAGAGAACTAAAATTGCTTACCGCATTCAATCAAATGCTTGAAAGCAGTGGCGGATGTAAGAATTGTGTGATAGGTAGGGACATGATTACTCAAGGTGTTTTGTTTCATTTTCCATTTGACCCTGGTCAAAATGTGCTTACTAGCACCTCTAGTAATTCACTGCTTGGTGGTTACTGTGAAAATAAATAGATGCACTATGCAGTCACATGTTTGGGACAACACCTGACAAAATTATTGTTTCCTGGAAAGTGATGATCTCCTGCTATACCAGAGGTTTATGGTGTCATGAAGTTGTGAGTGTATTTCTGGTTATTTAGGATATATCCAGACCAACACAACAGAGATTCAAATGATTTGGCGAAATATGGAAAATAAGTGGCATAATTACTGGTAAATCTGAAGAAATCAGCTTTAGGGTACCATTGCAACTCTTGTTTAGCTGGTTGCTCAAGAGTGAGGTGTCATAGTCAAACACATGAAGATTTTGATTTGTGTGCTGAGTGCTTCAACAGTAGCAAATTCGAAGTTGACATGTTTCCTTCAGATTAAATATATTGACCTTGTTGAGGAAGAACAAACAACAAATGATTCATGGGATGTGCCTACAGAATCTTTTTTTTTATGAAGTAGATGCGCCTAAAGAATCTACAACTGCTGATGGCAGCACACATTTTGAGATTGCAACAATAAACCCAGTGTAATCCCTCGCCCCAATTTTTTTGGGCCTACCTCTACCCCTCCTAAAGCTCTCTACGGCCAAAATCTCACACCTCCTTACCGGGGCATCCACACATCTCCTCTTCACATGCCCGAACCATCTCAACCTCACTTACTGCATCTTATCTTCCATGGGGGCCACTCCCACCTTGGCGCAAGTATCTTCATTCCTAATCTTATCTCTCTTGGTATGCCCACACCATCCTAGCATCCTCACCTCTGTTACTCTCATCTTCCGGGCATTGGACTTCTTGATTGGCCAACACTTTGCACCATATAGCATAGTCTGTCTATAAAACTAAAAAGAGCTAAAAACCTGGTCAAGCTTTTAAGACAATCCAAACACCCTCTAAGGCTTTCTTCATTCTCCTTTCTTGGTTTATGATGCATGTAGTTAATCAAAAATCAAGATGACATCAAAAGTAGGAGACTATTTGTCAAGTACGGTATAGACACCAGGGGAACAATATAAATCAAACATTACATTTCAATTTTATTTTCATATTTTTATATAAGCCTAAATTAAAACACATACGGCAAGATACATTCAGATGCCATACTAAAAAAGAAATGCAAAATCTTGTATTCCATCAAGTTGTATGATAATATTTAAACACAAGATGCATATAAATGTCTAAATCTAGCGCAAAATTACATAAAATTGAAGATAAGTTATTTTCAATGTTAAATAGACTTGTATGTAACAGTATGCAATGAGGTTCAGTGTTCATTTAAGCCCACTATTATGTTTGCTTATCTTCAACCATTTCTGTTTCTTTTTTACCGTGGACTATGATGCTCATACAGAATACAACAATTTGTCAGCAAAATATTTTTTTGCATTTTGGGCTAAACTTAGATTGGAGTATAGGCCACCATTAGGAGCTCAACTATTTCTAGTCCAACTCAGAACTCATACTTGGGTATACTAAAAACATGAACTCTCACAATTAGCATCATACTGGAGATCAAAGTACCTATACTTAAAAAACCGCTTACTGCCTTGCCAACCATTTTTTTCTCTGCTCTAATTTGTTCCTTTCTCATCTCTATATGGTGAACTAGTTATCCGACGGAATTAATTCTGAGTGGAACAGAAGACCATTCAAATTGATACTTGAACCGAAGGTAGAACATACCTGGCCAGCTTGTGAAGATATGATAGCGATGGACCCAGGTCCACGGTCAGCCCTATTCTTCATTCCAGGCAAAGCAGCTTTAATCAAATGAAAAGTCCCGGTCAAGTTGACATCAATCATAAACTTGATCTCCTCAATATCTTGAGTCTCCAATTCTTGAGGTACAAAAACTCCCTGATTGCACACCAACACATCGATTGGTCCTGCCTCTTCTACAGCCTTCTTGACAGCCTCGTAGTCTCTCACATCAGCGCTGAAAATGGCCACGTCACGGCCAGTAGAAAGCCGAATTGACTCCTTCGCATCTTCGAGTCTACCAATGTTACGAGCAAGTATTGAAACTTTTGCACCTTCTGAAGCAGCCTGTTGAGCTAGAGCTAAGCCAATACCGCTTGAGCCGCCAGTGATGAAGACATGACGATTTTTAATTGGAACTTTGACGGGGCGTGGTCGGACGATGAAGGCGAGGAAAACTAGGAGGGATAGAGAGAAGAAAGGGAGGAGGAGAGAGAAAAAAGCAATAGTCAAGTCCGCCATAGACGAATAGTTGCAGAAAAATCTTAGGTTGCCTTTGGACCTGCAATACGAAGATCAGCGCGATTCGGGATATGAGCTTTGGAATTTCAAATCTGATTTCAATGAATTCAGATCAACGATTTGGGATTTCACCATTGCAATTTTTTTAAATATTAAATTTTGATTTAGGACTTTGAATAATTAAAGTTTTAACTATTAAATTTTTATTTGAGATGAGTGTAAAAAATACACTTAAACTATTTATTTTTTTTAGTTCCATAACTAAACCATTGAGAATGTGAGTTCATACCTAAATATCACTTATTAGTTTGAGAAACACATATCTCCATCTTTTATTTGAAAAAACATTGACACATGGCATTCCACATGGATAAAGTATTCCACCCTGACAAAAATTAAATAATAAACTATTAATATTAATTAAAAACTAAAGATTAAAGTATCACTATTCCAAAAAAAATAAAAAAATAACAAATTATTTAAAAAAAAACTAATTAAAAAATAAAATTTAAAAGATATAGAAGATCTTTTAATGAAATATTTACATACATTATATAAAATAATAATAATAATATAATATTGTTGAAATATATTAAAGGTATAAAAAAATTGTCTAACATAAAGATGAAAATTGAACAATTTCTTTTTTTCACAAATTCCCTCGGTGGTAGAAGGGAAAGATCTTTAGATATTATTCTTTTCATAATCTTTAAACTTTGTTGGGATATATATATATATGTACTAGATGTGGTGTGCCCGTGCAAGGCACGGGCGCGTGGTCGACATTATTGTTTGTTTATGCTATTTAATTTGATAAAATATAAGGAGAATATAAAGATGCAACAAAGAAATTTTAGTAAGCTATAAAGTAAGCAAGAATGACCTTTACCAATAATCATTCAAGAATGTTAAAAGAAGCTGACTTAGGAGATTAATTTGAAAGTTAAAGAGTTACTTAACTCTTCTCCCATAAAGAAAAATAATAGAAATCAACCAACCTATTTGTGTATTAGAAAAACAAGGAACCAAAGAAGCATCTGGAGCAGCTAACTCCACAAATTCCAGGACACTTTGTATCTGCAATTTACAAAGTAGGAGTTGAATATATCAAGTGTGTAATGACACCACAGCACACCCACACACTGTGTTATCAACATCAATTAATTTTGGGCTTATGTAAAATTTGTTCAACTATCTAGCATTCTTTTTGTCCTCCGCATCCACATTTGCCTCATGTCTTATGAGGAAAATAGTTACCTATCAAGAAAAAATCAAATCTAAAGATATATTAAGGTACCGACACTATTGTTTTAATACATGAAGCATCAATTAGGAAACGATGAAAAGATTTCTCCTACCAACTTGGATGAGCAAAAGATCACACTTCAATTTCAAAGTTATAATCAAAATTTAGATTTGTCCATTTTATTGATTACTTTAGGAACAATCTTTAGTTCTTCTAGAACTACTATAGCCAATTGAAAGAACTTGAAGTTGCTGCCCTTAAACTCAGATCAATGGACCAGATGATGCCTTTAAAAGGACATTCTAAAGAATAAGCCGAAACAACTGAAGATAACTTTTGATTTTTTAGTCGCAAAGATTTTTTCTAAAAAGAATGTGGCAATCATTAACTTGCCTATAGACCTAGATAGTTCTTTCAGAAGGATTCCATCTCAATTTTCAGGCGACATAACGAATATAAATTCATACTTAGAGCCTATATTATTCATTGTCATTTTATGTTGAATTTTTGTAGATATGTTTGTTTTAACAAAGAACTGTGCATGACGGTGAAAATCAAACCAAGAAAACAAAACCTGATGCAATTTGAGATTATTAAATACATGGTCTAGTAGAGAGGGAGAGAATGAAAAGAGCGGAAGAAACATAAGAAGAAGTAATAGAGACTAAAATTGGGTGACAATGAAAAAATGAAAGAGAACGAATGAACGCCAGGTGTGAGGAGATGCACCCTGCTTTGAACTAAAGTTCAAAAATTGAGCTTCCAATCAAAACTTTCAGAAGAAATTATCGTTGTTGGCTTGCTACATTAGCTTGACCAGCATTTTTTAATACTGCATGAGCCTGAAAAGTGGTATCTAGTATTTTTATAAGAAGACAGGACTTCAAAAGTAGTCAAGTTTGCTGCCCATGACATCAGGTTACTAATATATACTTCTAAAATGCTTCTCGGATTCACAAAATAGTAAAAATTCATGAAAGTCTGGATTCATTCCTAAATATAAATGGAGATGCATCCTTTTCTCTAATAAATCATAAAAATACAAAAGCATCGGCTTAAACGTGTGAAGGAGACCAATAAGATAGCATTTTTTTGGCTCAATAGTAACCAATTGCAACGACTTTTCTTCTTGTTGTATCACATCATTGCTTAAGTCAATATAGGGTAAACAAACAGTATGCAGTGTACAGAACTACAATAGCATGTGAAAGTTGAGAGTTGGTAGTTCTAGAGATGACAAAAGGTTCCTTCACCATAAGTGAGGCAAAATATACAGTTTCTACTACATACCGTTTTAGATGCATTTAGTGCGCCTTTACAGTATAGTATAGGTGCAGCTGCAACAACATTTGTAGTAAATGCCTCTGGATGAAAAACAAGAAAAAGGTGATTCCTGATTCATCGGTTTCTATTGGTTGATTGTTAGAAGGTAAGTTTTAACACAACCACCAAACAATGTGTTCCTTTTTCATTTCAAGAAAGCTATGTATCCTTTTGTCTTACAAGGAATGAGTGGGTGGGGAAAGGAGGTAAGAATTTTAAACAAACAACAATATAGCTTTCCATTCATGAACCTACGAAAAGCTCAACTCTGATAACGTAGGACTATGGAGTATGAGAAACCAGAGAGCTTGAGCATTGGAAGAACAAAGAAAGTCGGCAAAGTAATCAAAAAAATAGGAGACACGTCTAACACCGAAGAAGAGAATAGGTAAATGTACACTCATTAGCATCGCAGATGCACCACATGTAGGTAGAGAAGACAAATACTACAGAAAAAGTAAATCATTCATCACATGTCATGAAGTATAAGTAACAAGGCCAAGCAAGACAATAGTATATGATCAAAAGTCAAAACTATACATAAAAGCACACTTTAATACAATCTATGTTGCCATAATCGGGATCATTGAGAAATGCAGCCACATTCTAGTTAGAGCAGAGTTGGAATTTTTAACTACTCAAATTATAGTGTTTATAGCTGGTTCCATATACCAAAATTGGTAAAGCAGTGTAATTTGGATCTTCTGATGCATTTCTTCATCCACCATAAATTTTATTCTATTTCTTTCATTCCAGGTGTGGGATAAGACAAACAGGTGCATTTTTAACTGGTGCAGCTCCTAATGGTCTATTTGGACTTGGTATTGAAAATATATCTGCCCAAAGCATGTTAGCAAGTAAAGGTCTTGCTGCAAATTCTTTCTCTATGTGCTTTGGACCTGATGGTATTGGAAGAATAGTGTTTGGAGATAAAGGAAGTCCAGGCCAAGGAGAAACACTACTCAATCTTGATCAACCATAGTAAGTTGTCACTTTGATTTTCTGGTTTTAACGTTAAGGGAAGTGAGAATTCAACTAAATATGTATTTACTAGTTCTCTCTCTCTGAATGCAGCCCAACTTATAACATCAGCCTGACAGGAATAACAGTAGGAAGCAAGATCACTGATTTTGATTTCAGAGCCATTTTCAACTCTAGCAATTCATTCACATACTTGAACGACCCAGTTTACAAAGTCATTACAGAAAACATGAGTGAGAAAATAATTGTATGAGTTATCTATGGAGTGTGTTCTTTGTATTTTAAAACTGAATAATTTGCTTCTTTTGCAGTTCGATTCTGAAGCAAAAATGCTGCGTATTCAACCTGATGGCGAAATTCCTTTTGAGTACTGCTATGGGATCAAGAAAAAAGAAGAGGTTGACTGAGTAATATGTTAAATGGGTGGTTATTTAGTTATATTCTGTTTGTGTCAGATCATAAGGCCTCCGGTATGTGTTCACCCAGAAAGAATTGAATCTTCGTCAAAGGAGCTATGCTTTACCATCCAGGTAAGGCCAATGTAGTGGCCGATGCTCTCAGCAGACTATCTATGGGTAGTGTAGCACATGTTGAGGAAGGAAAGAAAGAGTTAGCCAGAGATGTTCACCAGCTTGCTTGCTTAGGAGTTTGCCTTACGGACACATTAGATGGTGGTGTGATAGTTTAGAATGGATCAGAATCCACATTGGTAGTGGAGGTTAAGGAAAAGCAGGATAGTGATCCTATATTACTTCAGTTGAAAGGTGTAGTTCATCAGCAAAAAGTTGAGGTTTTCTCCCAAGGGGAAGATGGTGTACTTCGTTACCATGGTCGCTTATGTGTTCCAAATGTGGGTGAGTTGATGCAGCAGATCAATCAAATTAAACAAAACAAAAAATAATGAAGTTACTGCCACTTAATAGTAAAGGGATAAAGGGACACCATTCATGATAAATTATTTTAAAAGCCTAACATTTCTATCCCTTAAATAAAAATGGCAACAAAAGATAACAAAACAATACATCAAGCTTTTAGCACAATTCGCATACTAAAGATTGGAGGAATTATCCTATAGCACACAAACGGAAGAGAATCTACTGATTTAGACATGAATCAACAAACTAAAGGCTTCAACAAAATCTGATTCTAAACAACAATCTTTAACTAAAAAAAAATCAACTAATTTTAAAACAAGGAAACTAGTAATACAATGTGAACAATCAATCACCACATTCATAAGAAACTATCACCTTATACCTTTAAAACAACAAACAACATTAGTCTCTGATAGGGGGATCACATTCCAAATAAATTGGGGAGGCAATGATGAAACCATTAAGAGGTAAAGAACATGCTATTTAACAATCTTCCTAATGAATTCAACGACCAACTAAGGCAAGAAACAAATACTACACTGAAAGAAAAATCAAAACCTCACATTTGATAAACTCAACTACAAATGGTGAGCACTTTCGACTAAAATTTAGACAAAATGGGGACATAAACTCGATTCAAACAAAGCATGCTGGACAGCAAGACAATTCTGGAATTTGAAAATGGAGAAAATCAGTGACTACATCAACAAACAATAGATAAAACATCAAACAACCTTCATACTAACTGGTTTAAGATTCTGCCCCTATTTTTGAAAAGAAAAATGCCATTAACGTAGCAAAATGAATGAGACCATTGATGCTAAGAGACAGCGAAAACAAGAAATACGAAATCAGCGACATCAAAGCAAGTATATGAGAAGCAAAACAGCAAGAAACGAATTCAAACAGAGGAGCAAAGATGCTAAATACAGAACACGAAATTAATTTGACACCAAGACTGAATCGCAACTTCACTGTAAGCAAGACGAGATTAACAATGAAATAAGACGGGAGAAACCAACTCAACATCAAATGGGATCATCAAATCTCAAACGCCAAAGACTGAAAAGGAAACAAATAAATTCGCGAATGAACAGACCATCTACTGATTCATAGCCAACATTCAATCGGTGTACGCCTAAAATCACAACATTTGAACGCTTAGTCAGTCAAGAATCGAGTAGTCCACACATTAAGAAATAAAGAGGCATGGGCTGAAATTAGATGTTACCGCAAACTGGAACAAGAAACGAGCTGGAAATTAACTATTCCACCACCACACGAAAGCAAATTCTTCAACTAATCCGAAAGAGGTGGACGTCCTTGATGAACTCGAGTGTCCTACGTGGCTCAATCATACGCGATCAAGGACAAATCAAGGGCTGTTGGCAGCTGTACTGTTGAGGCGAGGAGAGGAAGAAGACGCGTACAGTGTACTAGAATCACCGTTTGATTCCGGATTTGCTGGACTGGTGCATCTTTTCGCTGATTTCTCGGTCCTGGTTGCGTGAAGAAGATGATCATAGGGGTCGTTGTGTCACATCCCGCCACATCACAGTTAAATTTGGCGACCGAATAGGGGCGGAAGGGTCTAGAGTTGTGGAGAGGTTTCCGGAAAACTCTAGAACCCTTAATGAATAGATAGAGCCATGATACATTCCGAAATATTGTAAAGGTAAATAGACTCTTTTCGCCCCCTTTTCGATGTCTGCCACTAGAACCCAACCCTTAAGAGGCTAAGGTCCAAGGGGCTACCGCAGGAAGTAAGCTTCACATGTAACCTTAAGGAATACAGAAAGTTACCTGAAATTCCTAGCAAGGACTTTGCCTGCTATTCATTCCTAAATCCCTTTCACCCTTAACTAGCTAACTCGATGGGACGTCAACAGCGGGAATGCCAAAAGCAAGACCTGGACCTGGTTCACGCAGTCAAGCAGCAAAGACCTCTTTCTCTTCGGGAGCTTTCGTAACAGCTATAAAGAATGCTACGCACCTCGTGAAAGGCTATTGGGATCGATCCCTTCAACCCTCCTTGGCGTGGAAGGTCGCAAGAGAAAAGAAAACTATTCTTCTTAGCAGCTTTTTCTAGATTATTGAAGAAGGCTAGAGAATTCCCTAGAATTTTCTAGAATGTCTTAGAAGGCAATGGAAGGTCCTAGAGTGTGTAGAGAGTTCTAGAGCTAGGGACAAAGTGTAAATAAGTTTAGGGACTTAGAAAGTAATTTAAAATTGTACTTTAGTCCCTAGGAGTTAGTATAAATAGGAGGTGCCCCTCATTTGCAAGGCACCATCCAACCATCCAAGTTGTAAAGCATTCTTCAAAAGCAATACAAAAGCCTTCTTCCAAAACTCTCTTTGTTCTTTCTAAGTCTTTCCTTAAGCATTCTCTTAGCGATCTAGTCTTAAAGGGCTTACTTGAGCTTGCAATATCGTGAAAGATTCGTGAGTAAGTTGTCAAGTGCCGCACGGAGCTTTAGTAAGACTCTAAGTCCGTGACAGTTGGTACTGTATTGTACGCTATTGGAGGACAGAAAATTACTCCCTCCGTCCCTTTTTAGTTGTCCACTTTAGAAATAGCACACAGATTAAGGCAACAATGATTAGCACAGTGAAGTTACAATTTTACCCTTATGACAACTTTTCACTTCAAAATTACAACCACTTATTTGAATTCAAGTGAAATAAATTGGAGGGAAACAACATACACTTTTACAATTTTCAAGAAGTGTAAATAAGGGTATAATAGGAAAAAATTTGTTGTCCTTTCTTGATTTGTCAAAATGGACAACTAAAAAAGGAAATATGGACAAGTAAATAGGGACAGAGGGAGTAAATAATAAGTCTTGGTTTTGTTTTTTACCACACTTTGACCTCAAATTCACTTTAAAATGTAATTAAGTAAAAATGGGATCAAATTAATATTTTCAAAACTTTCTAATTTTTTATAAAATACAAAAAAACACTTCATTTTTCAACTTTTATAATCCTATCCAAACCATTTTTAAAAAAAAAAAGTAAATGAAAATAAAAAAAATTCTTCTTTCTCCTAACATTCTCTCTTCTCTTTTTCTTCTTCCTTATAAATTTCAAAAATCCGACTATCAAAACAAATATTCTCCTCCATTATCTTACCTTCCTCTTCATCTCCAGTCGTGACTCTCTCCACTTTCTGAATTGAAGATTGT